AACGATTTTACCGCTACTTCGTTGGCGGCCTTTTGTAGTATCTATAAGAAAAGTAATCGCAAAGACACAATCATTGCGTACCGACGGATGAATTAAGTTCGGAATTTAAAGAATAACTTTCATTCGTGCTATTGCTGTTAGCATTGACATTTGGACAGATGTTAATTTATTTTAAATTCTTTTAATGTAATTAATTTATATCTTTAAATAATTGATCTTCTGACTGTAATTTTTTGTGCGGAGTATATCTAACCCTTCCGTACACTAACTGTTTTAATTAATTTACACTCCATTAATTTTAAGAGATTTTATATCGATAGATTTCTTTCCAAAAATGTTTCAAGGATTACATATTTTTTCTTTAGATTTCAAAACATTTTGGATTTAAAATCTTAATAATAAAATTTTTAAAACAAATATTTCTAGAAATTCCTTCGGCGTATTCATTTATTCCATTTAGTTGAAGTTTCGAGTAGAATATCTTCCTTTCAACATTCATATAATTTTTATATGTCAGTTCGCCATTTCTACGGAGCATAGACACACACATACGAGTACAAAACTCAGGCATGCTGAAAGCACAGTTTTAACATTTAAGAATGTAAAAAGAAGAATATACCATTATAATAACGCGCATTTGAAATACGAAGGCAAACAAGAAAGCTGGTTGCAACATTTTATATTTTTTCCTGACGAATCAGAAATTGTAATCATTTTTCAATACAAAAATAAAATATTTGATTCTATAACATATAGGCATAAAGGCGTCCTCCGTTACAATTCTTATTTTTTTTTTTTTTTTTTTGTTTCTACTAAAATTCGGCAATGTACTATAACAACGTCGAATCCTGTTTGACTTTCATTTGTATAAAGTACCACAAGGCAAACAGTTGTAAAACGATTTATCTTCTTTCGCAAACTTTTAGTCGGCACACAGATAATACATACCTGCTGTCTGACAAAGATACTTCACTCTAAGGACTTTTTCCTAAAGTGCTCTTTTCAAAGAGACTTCACACCCTATTAAGACCTTTGTGTCAACTGACAGCCGCCTGCAGAAAGGTAGGGGAAGGAAGACCAGATCGCGTCGTCTAAACACGTCTTAAGCAATCTTCGCGAAATTCGGGCTTCGTGTATACACGTCTTAAGCATTTTTCGTGCGATTTGAAATTCGTGTAAAGACGTCTTAAGCATTTTTAAAGAAATTCCAAAAACGTTTAAACACGTCTTAAGCAGTTAGGGTTAAAATGAAATAACATTAGGCAAATCAATCATTATCTGTACGCAAAGGCTTTAAATCCATTTTAGATAATTTAGGTATTCGGGTGGGCGGTCGCTTGCGACATGCAACCTGCATATGGCTTTAGGCATCCATTTTGCTTCCAAAGAAGCCCATTTTAACTCATCTCATTGTTAGACATTACCATGAAAGACTTTTGCATGCAGGTCCACAACTTATGCAATCTTGCATTCAATAACAATATTGGATCATAAATGGTAGAGCTGTTATCAGAGATTTAGTTAGGAAATGTATAAAGTGTTGCAAAATTAGAGCATCTGGTCACTAATCAATTGATGAGCGATTTGCCGTCTAGTCGCGTTTCGCCTGCTCCTGCGTTTTTGCGCTGTGGAGTGGATTACGCAGGTCCTTTCCAAATTTAAAGCAAATAAGGGTCGAGGCTCTAGGTCATTCAAGACATATATAGCTCTATTTGTTTGTTTTACGACAAGAGCTATTCACTTAGAATTAGTGACTGATCTTTCAACAGATGCTTTTATTGCAGCTCTTCAGAGATTCATTTCCCGCAGAGGCAGAAGCAGTGATATATATAGCGATGTGGTTCCAATTTTGTTGGAGAAAACGCAAACTCATGGAATTTGAAGGGCTTGCTAGGTCTGCAACTTATAACCAAAATGTTAGCAGATATTTGGTTGATAATGGCATTAAATGGCATCTAAACGTTCCAGGTGCGCCACATATGGGTGGACTCTGGGAAGCTGGCATAAAATCAACAAAATACCATTTAAAAAGAGTAGTTGGTGAGGCGAGATTGACATATGAAGAATTTGAAACATTTCTCACACAAATAGAAGCTTGTCTTAATTCGCGACCTTTAACAAGTTTGTCTAATGATCCAAATGACTTATCAGAATTGACGCCTGGTCATTTTCTTATTGGTAGATCATTAACAAGCATTCCTGAACCAAATTACATTGAAGTTTCCCATCTCACTAGATGGCAACATATTCAAAAAAAAAAAAAATGGTTCAACAATTTTGGAAGAGTTGGCACAAAGAATATCTGTGTCGATTACAACAAAGACCAAAATGGCTTTTGCCAACTAAAAATCTTCAAGTTAATGATCTGTGTCTCATAAAAGAGGATAACTTACCTCCAACTAAATGGAAAATGGGTAGAATTACTCAGTTACATCCTGGTCTTGATAATATTGTTAGGGTTGTGACCATTAAGACTTCAGATGGCATGGTTAAAAGAAATATTACAAAATTGTGTCCATTACCAATTTGAGTTTTAATTCATGTATTATAAATTAAGTATTATGTCATGATTTTAATATTGTATTGTGTTTTAAATTTACCGAATTTTAACCACTAAATGTTGAAATAGTATTTCAAGGTGGTATATTAACTTGGTTACAACCCCTGGAACTCTACACGGAGCTATGACACTAACCACAACAGACAGAGCCCAGCTAACTCTCAAAACTAGCTAACCGTGCCCACATTACGCCTCTCAGTTTTGTTCTGATCAGCAGGTCTCTCTCTAGGTAAGGAGCAGCAGTGACAACAGCCAGTCTTTTGTGATGAATCATACTGATTATGATTTTAATGCTCTTTTTAACCTATGCTGCTCGACATAAAATCTACTTACTATTAACTAAACCTCTAGACTGAGGAAGTATGTGACAAAATTAGACATTAAAAATAAAAAAGCTGTTAGTAAAACTTAACTAAAATGTCACTTATCTTCTTTCAAATATGTCCAGTTATTATAAGTGTAAAATATTTAATGATACTTGAACACAAAAATATAAAAATTCATGTAAAACTTATTCTTCGCATCTAGTGAAACTTAAAATAATGAAAAACAACTTTATCACCTCTAGGTGCTTTAGTGTCTTATTAGAGCCTTGAAGTATATTAAATCGGGTTACAACTCCCTGGAACTCTACACGAAAGCTATGGCACTAACGGCGTCAGACAGAGCCCAACTTTCAAAATGCGCCAACCATGCCTACATCAGGCCCTTTAAGTATGTTCTGATCAGCAGGTCTCTCTCTCTAGGCAAGCAGGAGCAGGGGACAACAGCCAGTCTTTTGTTATGAATCATTCTGATTATGATTTTACTTCTCATTTTAAACTATGACTCTGAGATAAAATCTATCTGCTATTTGCTAAACCTCTAGATTGAGCAAGTAATGGGACATAAAATATTAACATGAAACTAACTATTAGTAAAATGTAAATAAAATGTTACTTATCTTCTTTCAAATATACTGAACTATTGTAAGTCTAAAATATTTAATGCTGTATGATAAATTTCATAAAGTATATTTTATGCTCAAACTAATTAATAATTATGTTAATTAAGTTATGTTTAATAATAATGCATCCTACTTACGGATCTTTTTTTTTTTTTTTTTTTTTTTTTTTTTTTTTTTTTTTTTTTTTTTTTGGTATTACAAAAGTAAAGTTCAAGCACAGATAATATTTTAATTGAATTTATTAATTTGCTATTTGCTCATAGGTCCTTAATTTTTTTCAGTAATGGTTCTTAAAAGTCCTTAAAAAGTACTTAATTTCCATGTGAAGAAATGTGTACGAACCCTGGAATTAGAATATTTAATAGCAACATATGCATATCTAAAAATTTTACGTCTTGACCTGATTGATTTAAATAAAAATTGCGTATAGTTCATGATGTATCTGATTAAAAGCATTAAATATTTTATAGAATTACAAAACATATTTTTTCACTTTTTTAAATGTACAGACAATATATAATGTTTACACTTTAGTCTAAATGCATATTAGTGTAATATCGTATAAAATGTTTCGCTGTTCCACCTGGGCCATCTCTACTGATAATCGCTACTGATAAACCATATTAAACTTTAAAACAGCCCTTTTGGATGATCGCTAACATCGAAACCATTCGATTTTTTTTTTTTTTTTTTTTTTTTTTTTTTTTTTTTTTTTTTTTTTTTTTTTTTTTTTTTTTTTTTAAGTCAGATGTTTTGAAGCGTTGTTACGAAAGGGTTTATTATGTCCAAAAAATAGTTCCCTTCGTTTGTGCCTTTTTTTCCCCTTCTTTGTTTTCTGTGTATATAATAGCATTAAAAATATATAACGGTTTTGCATTCTGTAAATCTTAATTAAGTAATTCTTAAGATATGAGTATGTTTTGAGAATTATGTGTAAAAGGTCCAAATTTAGTATAAAATGGATAAAATACAATGACTGTAAAAGATGTGACCTATAGTGTGCACAGTCCTTTTTCTCAAGATGTGCAGATTACCAAAATTTCTGCTCTCTATGTTATTATCCTGTACATATGCAAAATAGCAATTTTATGCATTATAAAAAAGAATTTTTCGGGTAATTTTTGGCATATGTCTTCCACTTACAGAGTTTTGTGCTGTAGGCATTATCAAAAGAATAATTTCATGTTAGGTGATTTGTGTATATGTCATAAAATGGTAGAAAATGTTTTCCATCCCGTCAATGGTGTCAAATTTTACTCAGAGCGTATACATTTAGTGAGATTTGAAAACACATGCATTATTCACATAGACATGCAAGAACAAATATACTGTCTAAGATTGCTTTTTAATGCTTATTACTAATTAAAATGTAATATTTTTTAAACGAATTTAAAGGAAATCTGCAAAAAACTATGGATTTTGCGATTAATTATAAAAACTTCACACCCATAGTATTTTTTTCCCTTGTAATTAGAAATTAAAGAGAACAAGGGCTGTAAATAAATCAGGGAGTATTTTTATTACATTATTACAAAACTCTAGATGTATATAACTGGAATGATTTATTTTTAAATTTCATGTTTTCCTGCTAGGAATTGTGATACAGTTTTCACAAATTCTTCTGCTTTTTCAAACATTAAGAGATGTGTTGTGTCTTCAAAAGTCACCAATTTTGCTTTCGGGTTGTGCTTCAGAACTGCTTCAAATTTTACATCTCTAAAAAAAAAAAAGAAAAAGGAATTCTCATTATTGTTAATCATTATTTATCGAATGTACTTACATTTATTCGGATATCTGCTTAAATTTAGCTTCAAGATAACTTTTAATAGTTATTGTTAGAAAAAAATAATAAGTAAACTGCAATTTGATCTTCATATTCAGAATTCTGCTTAATATTTACGCAATCTTGATACCATGCTCTTTTTTTCGACTGCAGTAAATGAGCATAGCTAGTTTCTTGGACGTAGTTCAATTTCCTTTGCAGTTGATTGACATCATTGCTGCTTTTGCAAGCCGCAGCCGAAGAATGCGAACTTTTTTGTCCTTCATGAGCAAGCAATGTCTAATAAATTTTGTTGGACGCACAGTCTTTAATTTCTTTGACCGACAATCAATAAATGCGATTAAGGCATGATTCTCAAGTTGGATGATGAATGCATCCTCGCACTGTTTTACATAATCCAGATTTACTGGTTCTCGTTTCTGTAGGCCTTTTTAAAATCGATGTTATTAAGAATATTCCCAAATCTCATACTGGGAATCTAATCCAATTCAGTTCTTTCCTTACATGAAAATATCGAGAACAAAGTGCTCATAAAACATTGAAAAATAATGTGGAAAAATTTGTAAAACTTTACAGCCTCGATCACTTATTTCCGTTTCTCAGTGACGTGAGATTTTAATGATGATGTTATGTTCATGAGTGTCCCACTTTTCTCTTAAGTCTTATTTCAATAACCGGTTGATAAGCAGTAATCTTCGTCGAATGAAATTCTTCGTAGACGCACTTTCATTATTCTAAATCAAAGCGAATTTGCTTCAGAGTGAGGCATGAAAAGTAGCCCGCCTTCAATATCGGTGGCACGCTCCTTTGGAATTGGACGTAACAATTTGTTTTCTGTCCGGACACTTTACCTTGCCAAATAAAAGAGTATACTAGCTTTATTTTGTTTTCCTATTCACTCCTGAGCACACAGCATCAGGGAGATAATATCAAACTTATCATATTATCTTTGAAGGCGGGTTACTTTTTCTTAACCTTCTTTGTACCTTCGATATTATGCTTTGAATATCAACAATCAAAGCAGTTCGTGCACTAGTAGTAGAATTCTTCATTTTTACAAGAGTTTTATGTGAGGTGTGATCAAGAATATGCTCTTTTTTAATAAGGCAACTTGAAAATCTCGCAAACGTATGCTCAGGATGCAAAAGCAAGTGCCCAGAGTTGCGCATATCACCCGAAGGTAAACGCGAAGTAGCGTAAACTTTCGTAAACTGGAGCCACTTCGCCATCTACAAGTATAGTAAAATGAAAAATATTACACTTCAGTGCTCAAAAGTGTAAGGGAAGGTATTAAGTATATGTGATGTATATAGAGGGTCAAAACAGTGAATAATAGAAAAACAGAATGCATATATGCAGTCTATTTCTTTTAAAAAACTTACGTTAGTCGAGGAGAATCTTTGGATCTAATGATAAGAATTTCGTGATCAGACGATCCTCTTGGAGTTGCCCAAAAGCCGCCTTCTCGGTATCTGTCAATTAAGAACTGATGATCTGTTTTCCACTGAAATTTCCCATTCTTTTTATCCAGGTCATATGCCACTTTCATCAAGAAGAATTCTTGCTGAAATTAAAAATAACGGGTAAATGACGCACTTATTTGAAAGATGAAGAAAAAGTAAAATATTTATTTGCTCTCCACAATTTTGAAAGGCTGTGCTATGGCAGCATTGCCCTGATTCTGTAAATGTAATTTTCTGGTTATCGCCTGTAAACATAGCCTATACCGTGCTTTGTTTATGCGAATAAAACTAATGCGTAGTTTTAATTTGCTTGCAGTCGAGCTGCTGTATGCGTTACAATGACGGATGAAACAGATATACTGTGATTGCCTTATAAATAATTTCTATTTAATTTTGTGTCAAGTTTCCCAAAATGCCCAGAAAGCGCTTGAGCGTAAATGAATAAGGAACGGACAAATTCAAGTGATGGGCGCGTTTTAAGGAAGGCAAAAGAAGTGTGCATCCGTCAATATATGTGAACGAAAAGAACATTAGAGAACAGAGTGTAGAAAGAAGATAGATATTTATTAGTTTGGAAATTGTTAGCTATACATAATGTTTGAGCAGCAAAATGTTCTGAATAATTTTATGAGGCGCCTGAAAATGTTTCGCCACTTGTGCAGATGAGCGCCGCACTTACTAAATAAAGAACACAAGTTCCATCATGTCTAGCATATCAGCCATTTCTACAAAAACTGGCTAAAATTCCTGATTGCTTGAACGGAATATTCATCACTGACGAGTCCTGCATTAGACATAATGATCTCTAATCAAAGCAGCAGTCCAACATGTGGAAACACAGAGACTCATTACTTGCTAAGAAATTTTATGTACCTCAAAATTACCCCTGAATTTGTTTTTTTTTTGATATTTTTAGAATACCACTGCAACATTGCGTTCCAAGCAAACTATAAATGGAGATAATTTTGTTGATGTTTCGCAGGGAGCAGTTGCTTACCCCCTAAAAAGATGTCCTCAAACTGCATCAGAATGGGAATGGTTTCTCCGTGAGGATATAACTAATAATGATACGTTAGGCTACGGTAGCTTCGATGAAAATTAATAGGCAGTTTCTAGATTTTCATCCATGCAGCCAGACCTCGAAGCCTGCAATTTATAGACTTTTCTCACACTTAAATGAGAGTTAAAAAGAAGGAAGTATAAGATAGACCAGAAAACGAAACTACAAACCTTGACTCTCAGAAAATGGTCTGCAACTTACAAAGCAGGTATATCCTGGAAATGATGTGTAGACTGTGAGGGCAGCTATTCCGAAAATGAAATCCGCACTAAAATCCTAAGATTAGGGCTCTGAATAGTGATATCTCTTCACTAATTTTCGGAAAGTTCTCATTGTAAGAATTTTATGATTTTTTTAGTTTATTTCTTAAAATTACTTTAAAGCAATCTTTTATTTTATTAAAATTTCTAGTCTTAAATAATAATAAACCGCGCATTTCTCTTTTGAATTCTACGTATTAGTTATCAGTGATGCTCATCTGAAAAAACAGTTAATTGAAATGATGTATTTTGCTGCTGACTGCTCTTTTAATTATAACAACAATCTGGTTATCTCTAGTTATCCGAAATTTCAAATCTTGTAATGTTACCCGAACATAATTATTAATTGAAAAGATAAAAAGGATAGCTTTATCATAAACGGCGACACTATGGTGCATAAAAAACTTGCTGGGGACTAGTGTGATTTAAAAATATCGTCATTTTATACTGCTATAAATTATATAAGTTATTTTTAAAAAAATCATTACAATAAATTCAAGTATAATTTCGTCCCCATGAAAGATTTTCGTCAATAAATGGGATTCTTCCTCATTTAAGCAGACTGTTTATTGATGATACAATTTTAAGATTCTCTGATCTCTATCCGTTTCTTATTTGCCCATGAGTTCATACTTCGGAAAAAGACAAATAAAATGCATTTTGCTGTGCTGGTAAGTACAGGCAAGGAAGAAGGAGCGCATTATTGTTGTGCATAACGATTTACTTATTGTACTTAGTGAATCATTATGCGTTGGGTGTTGGTAAGCTGCAATTCGTTGAATATTTGGATGAATTCCCGTCCTTTTTTCCGTGGAATTAGAATTATTTATTTGCGTAGTCGGTTGCGACAAGGCTAGTGAGAGCCATCACTTCCAAAGGAAGAGATGCTTTCCAGAAGATTCTAAGGTTACTCTTGCATGCCCTCGTACTTCTTTCGAACAATAGCTGACGACATCCACATTTGCTGTTTGATGAACAACTCCGTCGATGGTTTTACATCTTTTGCTAAACTTCTTTTGAGGACGTTTTCGTTGCTTGTCTCTTTATGCTATTACTAATGCTATGCTTTTATTTTCAATAGTCTGGGATAGGGCTTCGGCACAGGATCCCGTGCCTCATGGCCTACAGCCACCTAACAGTTTCTAAGGGAAACTGATTGGTGTCCGCGTTACACCTAATCATCCAGGCCAACAAGCTATTTGCTGGGATTTGAACTAGGGTCGAAATCTCAGTGTTCAGCGGTCTTATGGATTCGGCCACTGGTAGGATGACATAGCGAAGGAAAGAAAATTAAAAACTGTAATGAATTTACAGGCATCAAGTGGATTTTTTATAATTTCTTCTTACATTTCAATGAATAAAGATCAAAGCAAGGAATTAATACGACAGATATCAAGTTCTTTAGAAGCAACTGAAAATGTTTAATGGAACGAATTTCCTTTGTCTGAAGCAAATGGATCAAAAGATTCATTTGTGCAAATACTAAAAGTAAAAATAAAACTAAATTATTAACACTTTTAATTTCTGCTAACTTAGCAGCGAGCTCATGAGTTAGCACTTTTTAATATTACAGCTCAATGCAAGTTAAAAAAAGTTCTTATTTAAGTTTTAAAATTTTTTATTTGTTTATATATATGCATTTTGATCGCATTAAAAATCTGGAATTCAATTATTAAGTATTTCTTTAGCCTCCACATAAGGAATGAACTTAAATAAACTAACAGTACCGTAATATCTGCTTAATAATTTGAATCTGCTGGAAAAGAAGAAAATGCACTTAATAATACTTGAATAATTTTAGAAAGAACTGATTCCTTACACTTTTTGTCCCCATTTTAGCAAGTCCTAAAATTTTCTGTTTAGCTTGCGCCAGAGTCATATGTGGATCCAATGTTTTTAAGAATCTGTTTTGTGCTGCAAACTGGGGATACACATTTTCTTCAAAGTTCTTTTTCGTATGATCTGTAAATGGCGGATGATCTATCATCACCATTTTTTCGATAACATGCGGCTAGGAAAAAGAAAAGAGTTGACTGATCACATCTTTTTGACACTTACTGTAATACATGCTAGTATGCATGCTACACATATATATATCTAAGTTATAAAAGTATTAAAAAATAATAAAAAAGCACAAACACACGTATATAGTATATATATTTACATTTGAATTTTACTCATTTTTGCTGCCTACGCTTGCTAGCTAAAGAACGTGTTTTGCTTGGCTGCTTCTATTCATTGCAGAGGCTGTTCGCACATTTTTTAGACGATTTTGGTAAGCGGTAATGAAAACTCGTTTCCTGTAAAAGAAGTAAATGCAATTGTACTATGTTTTTAAAAGTCAAAGTTATCGTCTGTGGCTTGAAAGTTTTGTTTTTATTCAAAATGGCGAATTTAACAAAGCAGTAATTCGAAGGCTACATTTACTCTCTTTCCGAAGAGAAATATGCATACTCCGTTATCCAAAAACGATGTGAGAGTCATGGTTTTGTGATATCTAAAGCGTCAATAGGTAATATCATCTACAAGAAAGAAAGAGAAAAAAAAAAAAAAAAAAAAAAAAAAAAAAAAAAAAAACGTCAAATTGGAGCCTCAAGTGGGACAAAAATTGCAAACAAGTATCCAAGGAAAAAACGGACATCTTCGACTATTGCAAAGGTACTTTGTTTAATGTTAAAAGAAAATCCCCCTAGTCAAAGGAAAGTTGCAAAATCATTAAAATGCTCGATGACCACTGTAAAAAAAATGATAAACGTTGATTTAAATCTTAAGAAAGCGAAAAAACGCAATGTGCATCGTCTTCTTCCAAAGCATATCGCTCAACGCAGGACACGCTGCAGAATTCTATATGAGAAACACTTATCCAAAGAAAAATGGAAAACAATTGCCACAATAGATGAAGCATGGGTGTATTTAAATGATTGTAACCAAAAAAGAGCCATTTATTATCATAAAAGAGGAGAAAAAAATTTAAGTACATGGTTCAAAGAATCGAAAGAAAGCTTTTCTAAGGGATTCATGATTGTTGCTGGTTTTTCTTATAATGGCAAGTTAAAAATAAAGGGAGTGCAAAACAAAAATGTCAAGATTAACTCCAAATACTATCAGGAACATATTTTATCGTCAATTTTTCTGAATGAAATATCATCGCTTTACGCACAGTGCCATCAATCTATGAGACTCCATCAGGACAAAGCTAGCAGTCACACATCAAAATCTACTGTACATTTCCTGAAAGAAATGGAACAAAAAACTGGTATCAAGGCCATACCCTTCACTGAGATCCCTACTAAACCTCCCGATGTGTCACCTATGCATTTTTGTGCTTTCGGACTTTTAAAAATTGCATTATCCAAACGTTGTCCCGATACCCTAACAGGACTCTGGAAAGCTGTTCGGAAGGAATGGGATAGAATAGCTCTTGTGCCACTTCAAAAGGCATTATTATCCTGGAAATTGCGGTGTCGAAAGATAGTTCAGAATAAAGATGTCAAATAGAACATTTAAAACACAAGAATTTTATATAATTTAGTTTTGTGAATATGCATCGTCTAAAAAATGTGTATATACATCGCCAATATACATCGTCTAAAAAATGTGTGAACAGCCTCTGTATTAAAAACGTAATATGTAATTGAAATTGTGGGGTGCAGATTGTTAACACTGAGCTTTGTCATGCCATAAGAATAATCAACAAGTAATAAAAGATATGTTTCTATTATCAACTGAATTTGTAATTCTTCAAAAGTTCCTGGCATCATCTACTATATAATCAATATTTCGGTAATCGAACATCAATCCATTCTCTACAGCAAAAAAAAAAAAAAAAAAAAAATTGGTGTCTTCCCTAGTCAAGCACTCATCTATAGTCAAATTATCTGCCACGAAATAAAATTTTCGTGATACATATATATGTAATATTTTAATGCGTAGTCGTGATGATGGCAAGATGGGAAGAAGATATTGATACCAAACCAAATTCAGCTAATTATCATCTTTATTTCTAGGCATATTAGATTAATTCTTCGTAGACTTCACAGATATACTTCTACATTATAAGCAATTACAATATTTTCTTATACACACAGATTAACGGGGATACGTTGTCAGCTTAAAATAAGAGAAAGACGGGCAGAGTAGCATAAAGTTGATAGAAGGAGCAAGAAAAGAATGACGTAATTGACTCGCGAGCAGTATTTATTCTGAAGTAGATGCAATTGTAGAGACAAGCTATGATTGGTTAATTTTAGTTTTAATTAAATTTACAAGCAATGTTGTATAATATGGAAAGATCTCGAATTTCGGAGAACAGATGAATTTAGGGGGAGAGCTACCTCATGGATGTTCGATGGATGATAACGGGTTCCAGGTTCTCTCCAAATCAAATAACGCCTATTGTCGCTTTGGAAGCTAAATCTGGACTCATCTCTGCAGAGAACAGCACTCCAATGATCAGCTATCCAGTGGATATATTGACGTGCCCGTCTCGAACATTCCCTTTTATGACGTGACGTGAGTGGCACACAAATGGCTGATCGGCTAGCGTACAGGCCTCTTTCGTGGAGACGCACAGTTTACGTTGACACCAACCTTCCAGTGGCCGCAGTAAGGAAGGATCTGAGTTGAGGTTTTATTCATTCGAGCGCATAACAACAAATATCGGTCATCAGCGCTTGTTGTGGCAGTTGGCCGTCCTTGACTGAACCTCCTGGATGCCGAATCTGTGGTTAGAATTTGTTGCTAAAACCTATGAACCATAGAAGGACTCCCATTTAACCATGTGACCACTTTTGTCTGAACTTGTCCTGCCTCTACTCTCCCAATAGATCTCCATCGCAGTTCTTCGTGCAAATGATACCTGGAGGTCATTGTTACAAATTCACTATTTCAGATTTGTTATATCAGAATTGCAGGGAAATTTGCAGGCTTGCTCTCAAACACTGCGTTTTATGCTCCTCGCAGATGACGTGTTTCGATTATAGAGCCACTAATTTGTATACTTCAGTTTTACTCAGCAATTTTGCAACATATTCAAATTTTATACGGATTGTCTTATTTTTGAAAGAGTTATCTCTATTTTTGTGATATTTCCTTAATTTTTGGAAACCAGTACAGATAGCTAGAGGAAGTAATTTTTTTTTAGTCCAAAGCTTCAGTAGTAAAGTTTTAGTGCATAAACGCGAATTAGGGTCCTCTGTACACGTTTTTACTGTTTTAGAATGATATCTTTACATGTGTGACGAATGTTTTGTCCACGATAACGCTTACATGAAACCTTCAAAAATTTTCTGTTTTCTATATTTAAACTTTGTACATTCATACAGATAGTTGATTAGATTTTAGGTAAAATTGGACAAGTTGCATAACAGTTTTTAATGAAAAACTACATTATAATATAAATGTTTTCAATTTTTGTATTTATAAGTCTTATATATTGTTACGTGAAAACGGGTTTGTAATGGCTTGAATGTACACAGAACCGATGCAAAAGCTTTACATTACTAGAACTTTCCACACAAAAGTACTCGCACAGCTCTTCCCACTACGACAAAGCATACAAGCATACTCAGAAGTTACCTTTTCAAACTACTACTAAGAGCGTTGCTACAAAAACGTCTCAAATGTGTAGGCTCGCATGATGATCTCTCAATACTCTGAACTAAACTTTCGGTCTTATATAGTTTTCTTCTGTCCGCCAAGAAATTTCCTGTACCTTTGATTTCTCGGTATCGATGGAAGGCATACACAGTTACAGTTATATACGGCCAGATAGTTATAGTTACATAGGGATCAGACCTAGTTACAATTACACAAAGGTTTAAAAAGGTTACAAAGGTTTGCCGCCAAGCAAATGTCATGTGGCAAAATGTCACCAAGCTTGGCGGTTTTTGCCAATATCTTGCCAAATTTAGCGACGAAAATTGGTTACCAAAATCATCGCCAGCTGCTTCCTATCTCGCCAATCAATTAGATTTTATTTACAAATATTCAACCTGAAGTGATAGTTGACTAACCTCGCGCTGGCCATACTAGATTTGGGGGGGAGGGGTTGATTCAAATAAAGCTCTTTCCTTTTTAAAAACGATCAAACAAAGTCTCTCTTCTCATGGCCCGAATCCAATAAGTGCGAGGCACGATTGGATTTTTTTGCGGGGTCCTCTCTATATTAAATATTTAAATAAAATGCAAATTCTCTCTATATATAAATCAAATGTCATGAATCATAAGATAGGTCAACTTCTACGTACATTAAAGAATAAAAATGCACAAAATACAAAAACAGTTACATTTTATTGAATATAAATTTACATCTTTGAATATGAAGATATGAATTAACATATTTCTTAAGTTTTTGTCCTGTAAATTCTTCTAAAATAGTTTGAAAATCCAATTTCCTTGCTTCTTCACTTTCAATCGACATAACTGATAAACTATTTAATCTATTCTGCGTCGATCTTAGATAGTGTTTTATTAGTTTTAGCCTGAAAAATGATCTCTCTCCAGAAGCAACGCTCACTGGAAATGTTAAATATATTCGGAGAGAAATAAACACGTTTGGAAATGCCGTTGTTCTGTCACTTTTCCGATAAGTATTTGAACATTTTAAACGGATTTTCAAAACCTTCTGATGGAAGGATAGATTTTAAAGATGCCATTTCTTCAACTAACATTTTTTCATCTATAATAGCTTCCTTCCTTTCAGCTTCGAACTTAAAATAAATATATTTTTAATAATTTAAATAATTTATAATTTATCCTTTTTCGTCAAAACAATTTTCTTTAAATTTCGAAAAATAACTATTTTTTAATTTTGGCGATAATGCGGGGCCCCTTCAAGTGCGGGGCCCGACTGGGCCCAATCGCTCCAATCGCCTTAAATCCGAGCCTGCTCTTCTCTTGGAGGAAAAATCTGCATCAAACAAACGTTTATTTTTCTCTCGATATTTGTTTTCTTATAGTTTAACATTTCGGAGAGTTTACTATTTATATTTAAAAAAATTAAACAAGAATTTAAACAATTTATAAAATAAAGAATTACAAACTTTAAAAACTCCAATTACCCACTTTTTTAAAAATTTATGATTTTGTATTTTTAAAATTTGAATTTGGAACTTCATATTTCTATTCCAATTTAATTCCTAAATCAATTTTAAGCTAAACAGTTACCATTAACCTTTCAATTTTAAGATTTAATCCCCAGAAATTTAAGTTATAGAACATAAAATCGTAAGTTCAAAAGAACAAAATAAGAATGCACAATAAGAAAAGGTACAAAAAAAAAAAAAAAAAAAAAAAAAAAAAAAAAAAAGAATGCCAAATGATAAAAAAAAAATGAATGCAATAGTATTAAGTTGTATATTAACGCCACATGAAAATCTAGACACCTATTTAATAACAAAAAATAGTTAATTATTCAAGACATAGCTGTACATTTATTTCCCTGGAACTCTTGCGTAGGAGGCTTGCAGCAGATCTCTCAAATGAGAATACATTAGATTTTGCTGTGACACTAAATCTGCTCCTGATAAGAAATAACAGCTCCTCGATATCTTTAAAAGTTTCCGTAAGAGAAGAACAAGTTCTATAATTTCTATTCTAAAACGTACTTAGCTAACAAAGTAAAAGAATTACAATTTGAAGTCTAAATAAATTCAAATTTACAGATTCGTAATTTTTAAGTAATATTAATTTTTGTTTAAATTTTAAAAGATTTAGAAAAATTTTTTACGAGTATTAAATTTCAAATTGGTATGGAAAATTGCTTCACTAGCAACGACCAGTAGTAGTGGATATGGATAAAATTGCGATAAAAATTTCTGCGAATGATAATTAAAGCCATAAAGAAAATTACTTAAAAATGAACAGTTCAAAAGATAGTGAAATAATAAGACTCTTCAAGGGGAATTAGCTTTTTTCACACGCTTTTCAACTGTTTAGATATTGTGTTTCACCACACAGAACCACGATATTAAGTTGCTTTTCTTAGTTCCTTTAAGGAAAACAAAAAGATAAAATTGAAAGTAAATAAGGAAACAGCTAGTGTTACTGATTTCTTCGTCAGTACAAACTTCATAGCAGTGGCAAATGTTTTAAAGATTAAAATATGTCGCTGACACAAAAGGGGGGAAAAGTGCTAGTGCAAATGCAGAAAAATTAGGTTTATGGTTTTTTAATATTACTTAAAAATTACGAATTTGTGAACTGGAATTTATTTAGACTTCAAATTGTAATTTTGTAATTCTTTTACTTTCTTAACTTTCTTAATTTAATACAAAAAAAAAAAAAAAAAAAAAAAAAAAAGGGGGGGGGGGAATTTTAATAGGAGTATTTCCCTGTGGAATGTTAACTCCCAGAATCTAACATTTTCCCCTCTCTCTATCTGATTTTTAATTCTTTACTTGAGTAAAATTTATGGAACTCTAGCCACTTTGTACTTTAAAAATTAAGATGAATGATGGGTTATTAAAAAGTTGTGTATCTATTAATGTTTCATTAAATTTGTTTTGTTTAAGATACAGGAAAACACACAAAAATGGTGACTGAAAGATGTTTTTCATAAGGCTGATAGAAAATTATACAGAAGCTAAAAACTCTCGTAAGTCAAAAAGAGTTCTGACTGAAAAACAAGGAAACTCTAAATCAAACATATATAATGAAAATGATTTGATCTCTGATGAAGATTTTGAGTCAGCAAAAGATTTTTGACGCCATTTTTTAGTGCTACGAAAATGCGTTTTGGGGATCTGCCAAACACAGAAGAAGATGCAATTTTATTTTTTCAGAAGCGAAATATTTTACCAAAAAAACGAAAATGTACAAATTCGCATGATATGAAACTTTATTTTGGTAAACGTACGTTTTGGAAATGTAATTTAAGACAGTGTGATCAGCAAGTGGGATTTAGAAAAGACAACTAGTTTGAAGGAAGCAGAATTCCATTTTGTTCAGCTTTGAGATTCATATACTGCTGGTGCGAGGAGTTGACGTCAATTAAATTTTGTGAAAAGCAACTTGATTTATCGAATAAAATTGTTATAGATTGGAACAATTACATGCGTGAATTATGTGTCTTGGATATGGAGAATATACCAAACAAGAACGTAGTGGACCAGATTGCATTGCGGAAATTGATGAAAGTTTCTTTACTAACCGTAAAAATGGTCGAGTATTACCCGAACAGTGGGTGTTTGGTGATACATGTAGAGAAACAAAAGATTCGTTTGTTGTCACTGTTCCTAATAGAACTGGCTCTACCCTTCTTAATAAAATTATTGGAAACATTCCAGATGGTAACACAATTTAATCTGACAATTGGAAAGGTTACCAAACAAATAGAATAAAAAAAAAAGAATTCCTACATGCTAAAGTTAATCATAAATACAATTTTATTGATATTGATACGGGAGTTCATATACAAACAGTTGAGAGAATATGGGGCAGTGCTAAACGAATGAACAAGAGACATAGGGGGACAGCGAGACATCATTTAGAATCTTATTTAGCAGAGTTCATATGACGACAGCATCAAAGAAAATAGAGACTGTTTTGAATCTATGTTAAACTCTATGTCGGCCCATTTTCCACCGAAATCCGATTGACTACTTTGATTTTAAATAAAGTGTTTTAATTTATTATTTATTTGTCGCGAAAAGTTTAGGTGTAGATTGGCGGCACTTAAAAACCGCCAAATCAGCAGCTGCGGTGGCGTTAATACGTAAGTACCCATAAAATTCTTTATTCTTTATTTTAGAATTAAATTAGAAAGAATTTTCATTTTTCCTGTTGCATATTCTTGACGTCTGGCTGACAAATAGGAATTCCAGAGTTCGAATCCAAACAAAGGCATCTCTGTTTATTTCGCCTTCTTGCTCCAAATATATCCTATAAAATATTGAAATGTTTTGTTTTCCATTTCTGTGGTGAAGTAAAATGAAATTTTTGAAACTTTGCAACAAGAAGATGAAAAAAAAAAGGTACAAATATTTCCACTTACTATATCCAGAGCAATCAAGTAAGTGATGGTAGACGAAAAGCTGTGAGTGATGAAAACAACTTTTTCTAAATTATGGTCTCTGAGAAACATTTTGATATCTTCTGCCATTAAGTATGCGTCGCATTCTTCAGAGGAAGCGCTTTCGCCATGATTTCTCAAATCTAGACAATACACCTAGAATTATAAAAATTCAGTAATGAAATACTAGTGAACAAAAGGCAATTAAAAGTCACATGTTGCTTCATGTAGTTCGTAGAATATGATGCACTTAAAATCACGCGGTTTTGAAAAGGCTGAAAATAATCGCAAAGGGAATGCTTGGAACGAATCGCATAAGCTTTTTGAGCTTATCTGAGTATTATGTGAATTGATAAGCTCCTGTGATATTTTTTAAAGTAATACGTGTATGAAAATTTATATTTTTGAATAAAGATGAAAGTGAATTTATGTATAAAGGGCATAATTTTATTTTTGATAAGCTTAAAGATTGAGAAACTCATATACCTTCAAACCATTCTGAATTTTTATGTAAAACTGAAATCTATACTTATAAAACTGAAGTTAATACATAAATATCGCCTCGTTATCAATGTTTTTTAGCTTTTGAAGAAATTCCTTGGTTAGTTCTGCTCCTTGGTTCAACCGATCTTCCTTGGTTAGATTTGTTATTTTCGAAATCCAAATGTCTTTACGAGTTTTTTGAACAATTATAAAGAGATTTTTTAGCAATTCGAAAATTCTGTAAAAGGATATTGTTGCGTCTGCGCGCGCATTTCATTACTAGCATCTACACATGCGCCTTGAGTTTGTGACATGAGATTGTGAGCTAAGAGCGTGTGAGAGAATTCGTGGCTTCTAGTGGCCATGAACGATGTAAATTAATGAGAATAAAAGTGTGATATAATACAGTCCATTGTTCCCGAGTTTATAATAGTGCAGTGCGAGTGCAAAACATCTATAAGAACTATAAGAAGCAAATTTGAACGTAACATCTAGAAGGAACTATATCATTGAGTTGTACTTTGATTGCACATTTGCAGATTTTGTCCGCCAAGTAACTGCTTTCTGGTTTTCTGACCAGAACTTCACTCGAAGTTTTCTCATGGACTTAAAGTGACAGCCATTGCTCTTCCAAAGCAGTTGCAAAAGTGGCAAAGGTCTGAAGAGGACTGAGAGCAGCTATATTTCTTCCTATAGCATCCCGAACATTCTCGATAGGATTCAAGTTCGGTTATCGAGCTGGCCACTCCATACGCTGAACTGTGTGCTGCTGAAGATAATCATTCGCGATGCGAGACCTGTGCGATCTAGCGTTGTCGTCCTGTTGCAGGTAATTATCACCCATTGCTCCGGCATAATAGCGCGCGTAAGCATCAGGAATTTCATCTCCCTAGGCCTGAGCATTAACGATCCCACGTAGAAAGACATGGAGGTCTGTTGATCTACACAGAGAGATGGCTCGCCAAACACAGACACTGTCTCCTCCGTATGCATCTATTTCACGAATATTCAATAGATGGTAACAGGTTTCATGTTCTCTTCAAATCAAATAACGCATATTATCGCTTTGGAGGCTAAATCGGGACTCATCTCTACAGAGAACAGCACTCCAATGATCAGCTATTCAGTGGATATGTTGATGTGCTCGTCTCGAACATTCCCTTTTATGACGTGACGTGAGTGGCACACAAATGGCTGATCGCCTAGCGTACAGACCTCTTTCATGGAGCCTTCTACGCACAGTTTACGTTGATACCAAACTTCCAGTGGCCGCAACAAGGGAGGATCTGAGTTGAGGTTTTATTCCTTCGTGCGCATAACAGCAAATATCGGTCATCGAGGCTCGCCGCAATGGTTGGCCCAATGGCTCAGCCAAAGACTTGGCTGAGCCTCTGGGTTGCCGAAACTGTGGTTAGATATTGTTGCCAAAGTCTATAGATTTTAAGAACGTACATCTAGCTACTTCTCTCTGACTTTGTCTTCCTCTAGTCTCGCAACAGCTCTTCATTGCAGTTCTTTGGGGAAATGATGCCTGGAGGTCGTTGTTACAAATTGGCTATCCCAGAATTTTTATCTCAGTATCACAATGACATTTACAGACTTTTCCTCAAATGTGCAGTTTTATGCTCCTCGGCAGATGACGCTGCTAATTTGCATACTGCAGTTTTACTCAGCCACTCTTATTTGACTTATTCAAATTTTATAAGGATTGTTTAACGAGTTATCGCTAATTTTGCGATTTTTCCTTAACGTCTGGAAACCAAAGTGTAATGCAAGGGGCGAATGCCTATTGATTATATAAATACTGATTGATAGATATGATACCTTAGCAATAAATGGATTTTGAAATAATAGAAAGATCTTCCAAGCTCACATACATGTTCACTTACCGAAATATTAAAAAAAATCCGTTACGATTACTTTTAAATTTCATGGTTCCATATTTCATGGTGTTTTGAATTTCATTAATGTCGTGGCTTAATAAGGTTCAGCGACAGGTGTCGAACTAAATGAGATTACATATGCATGTAGTTTTTGCATTTAGTGGTGTAGTATTTATTTATAATAGTAAATGAACGTATTTGAAAAGTAAAAAGTATATATTAAATGAAGCGTCGAAAAAGAACACCATTTTTTTAAAATGAGAAAGTAAAGGCAATTATAACATATTTTAATACATCTAATTTTTCAGGCTATAAAACGTTAAAAATACCTAACATTGATTACCTTTAATTGATTTTTTTCACTTACAATAAAGGGTGTCATTTTATGTCACTTTACATTATCTTAGTATTAAACTGAAGTATTTTTAAATTACTGTTTATTCAATTTATATTTCATACAAGTTAATAACTGTGTAGTAAATATAGTTACAAAATTTAATTCGCTGATTTGAAATCAAGGCAGGGGTTTAAAGATGATTTTTTAAAATGAAATATGACAAGTGGAACACTGGAAACCTGAAAATAACAAACCTTAATTTAACTGGCACACAAAAACGTAGCAATCTCTGCCCTACAGCCTCCTTTGCAAATAGTAAAATACTTTAAAAAAATAAAATCTGAAACCATTCAGATTTTATATCACGCCCAAAGAGGCGTTTTTTAACATTTTGGATGCTACCTTTATTTATTAAATATCATGTTCTTCGCTCTTAAACTACAAAACTCAGTTCAACAGCAAAATCGCATGAGCATATCTTTAGAATTTCCGATACATAGTCTCGCGCGCTGGAGATAATTTTTTTTTTTTTTTTTAAATTTCGTACAGTATTGCCATTGCTCGCTTTGAAATAGTTGAGTTTGTTAATCAAAAATTCGTTAAAGATTTACAAAATATGATATCATTAATAAAACAAATTTCAAATTACTAATTCGGACTTCCAGATGTTCATATTTAGTTGAAGATTACATTATCCAAAATTTTATGGCTCTAGGTACGATTGTTTTAACATAATGCGAGAAATATACATATATTTATGCAGATTCTTCATTATTTAATTTCTTTAAATATAACACAGGGCTCTAATATTTAATGGCAACAACTGGAAAAGTGAACCGGCATTTATAGTAAACCAACGCAAAATGCCAAAAGGGAATTAATAGCCCTTCTAGGCTAACGCCCTTTGGGCTAATAATAAATAAAACATCAAATTCATTTACACGTTTCTTTGAAAACATGTATGAAAATATTAATCAGCCACTTCTTTTTCTTTTTTCTTTTTTTTAAAGAAAAGTAAATATGATAATATAAATATAAGAAAAAATAAATATATTAAATATTTTAAATTATATGTTTTGAAAATTTATTTTGTGAAATATTGAAACTATTGGTTTAACTTGACACCTAAATCGGAGTATGAAGCTTTTTTTTTGTTTCTGGTTATTTATTAGCCCAAAGTAGTGTTAGATCAGAAGGGCTATTAGTCTCAAAAGCGGATTTTGCCTTGAATCACTCTAAAAGTCTGAATCACTTTTCAAACTGTTGTCATAAAATGTTATCGCCCTGTATGATATTTAAAGAAATTAAATAATGAAGGATTTGCACGAATGTATGCATGTTTTTTGCATTGTGAAAAAACAACGGTACCCAGAGCCATCGAATTTTGAATAACGTAGTCCTCCATCCGGATATGGTTTCCTGGAGGCCTGCATTTTCAACTTGGAATTTTTTTATTACGTATTTTATATTTTGTAAAACGAATTTTTGATTAATAAACTCAATGATTTCAAAGCGAGCAAAGGCAACATTGTACGGGAAAAAGCATTTTTATCTCCAGCGCGCGAGACTTTATATTTCGACCGTCTCAAACGCAACCTTTGCTGGCATTCTGCCAAAACACATAGGCTCGACCAAGAGATCGCGGATGAGGCGGTCGAACTATATCAGAAATTCTAGAGATATTTTAAAGCTATGCTAAAGATATTCTAAAGATATGCTGTTTTTAATTAGTTTATTGTGTATTTCAAATTTTATAAAACTATAGCGAAGTTTTGATTAATAAAATCAACAACTTAAAAGCGAGCAATGGCAACGCTTTACTAGAAAAAAAAAATTTATCTCCAGCGCGCTAGACTGTTTATTGAAAATTCTAAAAATAGGCTATTTAAAATATTTTTGACCAAAGGAACATTAGCCAAAATGCTCTCGAAACGTGTATGTGTAATTACATAAATAAAAAATAAAATAAAATAAATAAAAAACGCCCCTTTTGGTGTAATGTAAAATTTGAAAGCTTTCAGAATTTTTTAAAATTTACTTAAAATTTTGTATCATGCTAAGAAACTATTGATGAAGGGAAAGATAAATGTTGAAAGTAAAAGCTTTTAATTTTTAAGTAACCGAAAATTTTGCAAACGTAATCGCTCTGTTAATAGAAGCACCATGCAATTAAAGGTTGTTAGGTGTGATTAAAAATCAGATGATCAGCTATCAGACCTAAATTTTTAATTTTGCTTTTTAAATAACTGGAAAACGGAAAGTAAAATCCAAGCAATTATAAAATGCATGAAAGCATTTCACATAAATTTAATAAATTGGAACTAAGAAAGGATATTTACCTTTCGTTTTGTTTCATTGCAGATAGCTTTTGCAAGGTCTCTGTACATATATTTATTCCAAAAAAGTCCATGTAGAAGAATTATAGGATTAGCATTCTCCTGCATATCATTTGGTACATACACATCATAAGCTAATGATATGAACTCCATGGTTATCTGTAAAAAATAGGGTGTAACAACGGGAATAATATTCTGATAACATTCAAGATTTATTATGGCTTTATTTTATATCACTATATTAATTTGAATATTTATCTGAAACTCGTATTTCATAGAATGAATGTTATGTGTCTGTAGACAAAAATACGTTTCTCAATAGGAAATAGTTACCTTTTATGAAATGTAAAAATTAAAGATAATGTTATGGGACCTAAAATTAGTATTTTCATAATCTTCCTTTATACTCAGCATATAATTTAAAAATAATTCTGTTCCAGAGGCTAATTCAGATTCAAGTTCTGTTAAGTTTTCTACAAAAGTAAGCTGTAAGTATATGTAAGGTCAAAAACTGCAAGTTCTATTTCAGATTCTTCTTTAAATATTAAAATATTCTTTTTTAACATCCCAAAAATACCGGACACTAAGCAAAGCTCAGAAAATACATATCTAGTTTATAAATTAAAATAAGTATTTTTCAGAAACAATTTAAGATAACAATTTTGTTATTATAATGAGAAATTTTAAGTTGTAAATTAGATTATAGCAGAAGGATAGGAGAAATTCAAAGTCTGAAGCTGTCCCAACTGCGTCTGCTTTCAACAGTATATTTTTATGCTTTAGTTATATATGAAATCAGGACAAAGGGAATATAATTATGAATATTTAGTTACAAAATATATTTTATGAATATTTATTTTTAAAATAGAATTTATGAATATGTATTACGTATTGCTTCAAATGATATCTGCAAAAAATATACATTTCTGACAGGAAAGATAACAAGACAGAACATATTTCATAAAATTCCGTTATGTGGTGTGTTTCAGAAGAAAGTATACTGTTACTTGAAATCATATAAAAAAAAAAGTATGTTCTCACCTGTTTACTCCATCATAAAGCATAAGAAAGACCCCTGGCTATGAAATGGTAGAAATGCAGGATAACAAGTAAATAGTAGTGAGTCATAGATCCAGAAAACTGGTAAACTGCGACATTGTTTATCTTGAATTTAATTCTGTATGGGAAAGCTCTCATTCCCCCCCTAATTTGTCATATTTTGCTTTCCTGTAAGAAAACTCATAAGGAAAAGGAACGGCTAATTACTGGTATTATAAAGCGAGAGTTGGGTTGATTGTTTGTTTCTAGCCTGTGGTACCCAGCAAAACGTTTTCGTTTAATCCAAATGATATTAATGAAAATATAAAACCTGAAAGCTTTAAGATTTTACATTACACCCAAAGGCGAGTTTATTTAACGTTTTGTGTGTTACCTTTATTTATTAAATATCATATTCTTCGCCCCTAAACCACACAAAGTTCCATTCAACAGCAATATTACGAAATATTTAAAAACTGCATATCTTTAGAATTTTCGACAGACAGTCTCGCGCGCTGGAGATAAAAGTGTTTTTTTCTGTACAGTGTTGCCATTACTCGCTTTGAAATTGTTGAGTTTGTGAATCAAAATGTCTTTAATATTTTACAAAATGTGAAATAAATAATAAAACAAATTTGAAATCCGGAATTCGGGTTTACAGGTGCCCATGTTCGGGTGGTGGATTACGTTATTCCAAATTTTATGGCTCCTAGGCGCCGTCTTTTCTTCATAGTGCGGGAAACATACATACTTTCATGTAGGCTCTTCATTATTTAATTTTTTTAAACATAATACAAATCAATGATATTTAGTGGCAACAACTTAAAGATTAGCCGTTTATCAGTGAAACGCCACAAATTGCCGTTTTGAGAATGATAGCTCTTCTGGGCTACCGCCTCTTTGGGCTAATAATAATAATAATAACGAAAGAAAGTAAGAAATTCCGAAAAAAATTCATATTTGAATGTCGCACCAGAGAGTTTGTTAAGATTTCTTTAGGCTGTCGTTGAGCTCGGAGTTTCCCAGTCAGCCCTTGGACTTCACTCCTGCGAACACAACTTTCTTCGTCTATTCAACTTTACTATTTAACTTTATTGCTCGAGATCACTTTTTTCGCTCTTAGATCCCATTAAATTCAATAGTAAAATTACAAAATGTTAGCGACATCTAAATCTGCCGAAACATTTGGTAGCAACATCCTTTTATTTCACCTTATGTCGAAAGTGATAGCAAAAAAAAAAAAAAAAAAAAAAAAAAAAAAAAAACGAAGATCGAGATTAAGAGCACCCCTAGTGCTGAAAAACAATTACTGAAAAAAGCTACTAAATACATATTTTCTTTTGCTTTATTCTTTTTAGAGCATATGATAATCTTTTTATTTTGTTTTTATAGATGAACTGAATTTAAAAAAAAACCTTCTAAATTAACATATGTCTGACAAATATGGAAAGGAAATGTCAAAACTTCCCTTATCGTAGTTGCTTATGAAGTTTACATATTTTCAATTTTTAGTTTTTCCATCTGCAAACAGCCATTTTAGTTATTTAATATCTAGTTTGCATGTATATACATGTAAGATAAAAAATCTGAAAGCAAACTTCTAAATTTAATTCACTACATCCTCTTTAACTTTTTATTTCATTTGGGAACTTCATCTATCTGTCCTAAAAATAGCGCTGTAAGTCTAAATTGCATCATTCAGATTAATCATGCGATCTTATGTAACCGTTAATGCAGATGCCTCTTGACCAATCACAAAATTGCAAACCAAAACTTTTCGCTTCGCGTGCTTCCATCTTGCATAACTACGCACTTCAGCTTTTGTTCTTTACTGTGCTAAGGTGTAATTTCGCTGGCTTGCTTTCTATCTCAACAATAGCAAAAATGTAAATCTTCCGTGGAAAGGCACGACTAGAGTGCCAAGTGATTGTGGCCACAAATATCAATTGCAAATAAAAATGGAATTAAATCTGCCTCGACTTCCAAGTTCTTTAGATATCACCAAGTTAACATTACTAGAAGATTTACGCAATCAAAATTCTTCTTCAATATGGAGCAAGCATCGACACTACTCCGGCTTTTCCTTGTGCTCATATTGTTTCAGCCATTATTTACTTAATATGTTAATTGTACATATTATTACAAACAAGGAAAATACTGGAAGTACTTAATGATATTTTTAGCAGATTTTTCTAAATTAATATGTAATATTCCTCAGTACTTCGTCTATGATATAATGTCGAGGAACCTAGCGAACTAAGTAGCGAAATATCGTTGAGTTCAAGTAGTTACTACAGAGCCTCGAGAAGGATTAAAATACCCTTTTATTCACTCAAAGAAATAATAACAGATGGCCCCCTTTTCGGGCTTACAAGAAAGCCTCCACTTGGGCTTTTAAATCAGGATAAGAAAATAAAAAAAAACTAATCTAATACTAAACTAAACAGACTCAGCTGAAGCTACAACGAATACCTAACGTAGTTGGCCCTTAAATTAAAGTAGCCGGCGATTATCAACAGACACGTACAATATGGTCGAGCGTAGTAGATTCAAGAACGAAGAAGCCAGAGGCAAACGCACGCCACTAAGGACTCCTAAGCACTCTCTAAGTAAGTTCAACTTCCCTTAAATACTCCTAACTCGTTTGCATAAAACGGGATACTAACAACTCATTCTGGATGGGAAGCGAGAATAGTAAAGCATATTTAAACTTAAAATAACTTTAGAAACTCAAAGTAACCTCTGCAAATGAACTCTTAAGAAATAGGAAAAATCTATCATGATAAATGCTTTACTTTAGCTTTGTTAAAAGGTCATTCTTCAGCGAAAGTGTGTGGGTAATTTCTTATTTTAATTGTTATTCTCTGTCGCTTATGGAAATGCTCGTCGAGGTATTGCTGATAAATAAGAAAGACACATTATAGTTTTAACCAAACATTAATACATTAGAGATATAATTGTTTTTCATTCATTCATTTAAGATTTTGTTCTGAAACATCACGAATTCTTGACCTTTATCTATCTTTACCTTCATAGTCTTAAATAGATGCTATCCGCAATTCAGATATCTTTAGCTATTTCCTCCGTACAATTTAAAGCAAGTGGCTTTGTAAAAAAAGGTCTGTTTTGCTCAATAATATGGGATCTTTGAATTTATTTGTTGAAGTAACTAACTCAAAGCAGATTGACAAGTATTTAAGCTTAAAATGCCTTAGTGCCTTTCAAGAACTTGACTCTCATCTAAACTAATTTCAGAAGAGCTTCCACACTTATTTCTGAACATATATTTTCCAAATCTAATATCTGAGCAATGTCAGCTGAATTTATTTTTTCTTCTGATCTGCAGCTCGTTAGGATTTCTAAAATATATTTTACGATCATTTTCATTTTATTTTCTGCAGATGAAATTAAAAGTGATGCTCAACTAAAAGTAATAATGTAAATTTAGATTTACAGTTTTTGATAGGGTGAACGCCAAGAAAAGTGTTCTTTAGAAGGGGGGAACAGCAATTTAAACTGTTTTAACTTGTTAAATACCATTATTTCTTCAACTCAAGATTAAGTGTAAATTCACATATCTAACTCTCTAGCCTTTTACTGAAACAGTAGGAACTAGTTCTCCATCGGACAGACAAACAAAGTTGACAGATGTCTTGGTTTGAACCCCCAAAGTCTTTCTGCCCTCAGGCCGAAAAATCAAGTTTAGGTGCAAAGAAAAGGCATATAGACAGAGATCAAAAGGTCTTTATCCTGTTAAACGTTGTGTGCGGTGTTGCCAGACGTTGGGTGCGGTCTGTAAAAATTATTACCGACGAGGAGGGGGTGATCGTCACCTTCAAAATGGCGGCGTAAGAAACTACTAAAAGATGCTGTCCTCTGTAAAATCTCAAAATGCGAAAACACAGCTGGCTCAAAGTTGAGGAAAAGGAAAAATACAGGTTATAAAAGATAATATACCCACTCTGTTACTCAGCTCGGTGAGCTCAGTTCTTTTTTTTTTCTTATATTTTTTCAAACTGCGCATTTTTTGCTTTAAAAATAATTGAATTATGTTGTTCTTATCTTCCGTTTAAGGTTTTTATGCCTTTAGTTGATTTGCATGCAATAGTTATTGAACTATC